AATATGGATATTATGATGTTTTACAGTTATCGAGAGGTCGGAGGTCTGTCCCCGTATAGTGACCGCAAAGACTCGCTGGAGCTAGAGGGCGTGCTGGGCAAGCGGCCGCGCGTGAGCACGCCGCCGCTGAGCGAGCGCGTCATGCTGTACGTGCGCCAGGACACCGAGGATGTGTACACCGCACTGCACGTCGTGCCGCCTACCACGCAGGGCCTGCTGCATGCGGTCAGTACCCCACGCACCCAACATTCATACTATATTGCTGGCCTGCACCTCGAGACGTCACACCCAGACTTTGGGCTGGTGACGTCTCCAGGTGCACGTCTAACCGTGCTGTAGCACGGGAATAACCTTGGTGATGTCAGCTAACCACAGAACACGAGCGAGCGAGATGGTCTCCGTTGCTTTCTCGGTTTCTCGTCGTTCGTCAATGATAATTTATACTATATGTGAAATAAACGCAAGAAATCGAGACGCTTCGTCGGTGTGCGGGCGCCGGTCCGCTTGCCGGCCGGGCCGCCGCCCGCCGCTGTAACCGATTGGACGCTTTATAACCCCGTCTAATAAACACACGATCATCATAACCGCATGTTGTAATTAACATCCGCACGGCCGGCCGCCGCGCGCCGCACCGGACCTCCGGCGGGTCCTCGCGCGTATTGTCCTCAGTCACAAACCACTAGACCGGTTACTGAACTTTCGGTTCCGTTAGACGAGACGTCTCGGTTCTAAATGGCGAAAGGCCTATTTGTAACTCTTTTGTTTTTTGCTTATTTTCAGATTGAGAATAAGTACAAAATTTCAAGTTCGGCAATTAATAATCTTTATCGAAAGAACAAGAAAGGGTAAGTGGTTTTCATTGGCCTTAAACAAATCTGACAGCGTAAACGCACCGGCCGCCTCGCGTTAATGCAGCATCGCTTGTCCCGAGGGCGCGCCACTAACTGATAACTACGCAAAGCTTACAATATGAACACCCCTATAACTGTCTAATGAGCTTCATAATAGGTGCCAGTCACGTAATCGCCTCCCCTGGTCCGAAATTACACCTTAATCTGGATTCGAGCCCGAGCTACTTTACTGGCAACCACTCGCACCTAATTAATGTTAATGAGCACATTATTACCTTAATAATTGAAATTAAATGTTTGTTTTTAAATTAAACCTACTTTGGTTAATTTGAGTCAACCAATTAATTTGCACGTGTTTTATTTTCAAATAGCCGAAATCCCGCTGTGCAGAGGACTTCGAGTGCATATACTGATGAAAGTTTAATTACAGGATTACGGCCAAAATTGATGATGAAATGCTGGCATATTACTGCAACGAGGATCTGTTCCTGCTGGAGGTGCGACCGGCTGTGGCGGCCGAGGACGAGCGGCTATACGACATCACGTTCGTGGAGCTGCCGCTCGACCCGTAGCGGCGCGCGACGTCTCGCTGGACTTTATCTCGCCGCCCTCCATCGTCCTCCGGACGGCAGTTTTTACTATAAGCATTCCCGATTTACACTCTATACGTGAAAAATCTTTATGGGATAAGGTTGTATCAAAAGTGTCGATCTCAGGTTGAAATTTACTCATAAGCGATTCACTCTCTATTTTGTTTGAAACGGAATGTTACAGAATGTTTTGGTTATCGTTGTAAGCTAAGCGATCGAGTCGAGACCGTTGTGTAAATATCTATTTTAGTGCCTTATGAATGACATTACGTCGTGATTCGATTGCCCGGTGATGGCGAACTAAATTTTTGATGTTTGATTAGCAGAAAACATAATGTTTCGTTAATTTAATGTATTTTATTGTAAATGACGATTATATGTTGCTGAATATGAACGTGTGTGCCATTCACTCGGTTATCATAGGTATGTAGTTAACATTTCAACAGGTACCTTTTATTCTTGCCATGATGATAAAGTAATAAATTCTTGTCACAAACTTATACGTAGGTATAATATATCTACACTGAGAAAAGCATCAAGTGCCTTCGTCATAATAATTAATGTTATAATAGCATAATATAAGTGAGTTTTAAGTCAAATTAAATGCCATCCACTTTGTTAAGTTTTGTAAGCCTAAGTTTGCTTTATAAGCTCGCTCAATTCTTACAATTAGTGAAGTTGATATTAGTTTTAGGTCCATACATGCGGACATTGCTTCCACTCAGTGACATAGGTCCATTTGATAATATATCAAAAACAAATTAATTATGAAGAAGTAATAAAATGCCCGGATGTTTACATAAATTTTGTTCATTGCCACGTTTCAATCAGCGTGGCGAGATATAATCGGAAGCAATGGCGCAAATTACAATTTTATGCGACAGAGCCGAGGTTCCGTGTTATGTTGGATGTATAATAGTCATAAAAACATAGTCACAAAATCGTCCATCCGAACAACATTAATATCATCATCGATGGGAGTGGTATGTGTATTACTTTAAGATTTTTATTAATAATACAATTGTTATAATAAACGAATTTCGATACGTAGGTTATCGGGCCATGACAACAATTTAGTTTATCAAGTATTTTATGTCCAAGACTTATTTATATTATAAGATGAAGATTTCGTGCCGGATAGGACCATATTTTTCTGTAGCGACTTAAGATTTTTGTTCTTCAATCTCCCTATATCAATCACATAATTCGACATCAGAAAATACATATTGACCTAATTAATCATTTGTAAAGAGTAAAGCGTATATTATTGTTAAGTTATTTCCACCGATTATTCAAAATTGAGAACAAGGTTCTGTGTCAGTGTATGCGCGGACGCCGGCGTGTCGCCGCCCAGCGTGAGCGCGCGCCCAGCGGCCGCGGAGTAGTGCGGACGGTTCGAATAACTGCCATATTATGACATAATTTAGAGTACTTAATGTTCTTAGACGTAGATTCTTTAACATAATGTTAGTTCTTTTTACTGTGTCTCATGTGACTTGCAGGTAGGCATCGAATTTTAATTAAGATATAGTTCATATTTTATACATATTATATTATGTAACGTGTTGTTTTTGTTTCATTCAACTCTAGCTGCGATTGCGTTGTGACTAGTTCTGACCTTCGCATTTCTATAATCTTCCATTTTTTGGCTTTCGTACACTTGTTATATCTTCACAACTTTAACTTTCTTTAATGTTATGTTTTGGTTACAAACCCGTTGCTCAATGTCCGGCGCCACTCCGAGGGCGGGACTCTAACAGCATTATGTTATACTCATACTTATGCAAGTAATTATATTTATTTATATACTTATTAATATAAATTGTGCAGCTTTAATGTTTACTTACAATGATGTTAGCTCGTGATTCAGAATCTCGTCATAAGTCACAAACGTCAGTAGCAATAATACAGTGTAGTAGTTAAAATGTCAGCGCCCGCGGTGAGTCGCCACTCGCAGCCTTCTCCGGCAAGGTTGTGCAATGTATAATCAGAGTTTTACTATAAAAGTTGTATAATTATATGAAAGCGGTGGTTGACCACGATTGGATTGAAATTATATATAATATAAATGTTGGGAGAGGCGCTGCGGCGGCGACACGGCGCGGGCGCAAGGCTTGCGGAGATATTAGTCACACTAGTTAAAACACAACCCGAAAGTGGTAGCACATTTTCGTTATTAAATTGTACTGTACTTAAGGTTTAATTGAATAGATGTTACGTTATTCTTTTATATGAATATTTGTAAGTTGTCATAAAAATATTATTAATATAATTATTTTTATCAAAGTTTATAATCTAAATAAAAATGTTTTTCTTGAAAACATCACTTTGGTTTCAATATCATTTATGTTTATAAATGTATCCCTAAACTATTGTGTACTTTATGTCTGAAATATGACATATAAGGAATTGTTCAAAAAAATCACATAACACTAGCCCGCTAAAAATTAAACAACATTGCAACTTCATAGTTACTTTTAATTGATCTTATTACTTTACGTTAACAATTGTTAGTTTTAATATTCTGTACATTTAAAAGCTTCAAAGTTCACGAAAGCGTCAAGACAAAGACTTGAAGTAAGACTAGATGCTATAATTATCTGTAAACTACAGTTAGTCAATTTATTTGGTATGCACGTAATAAAATAAAGATGATTCAAATTTCAATGCAGAGACATTAGCCGTTGCATGTAGAATCAATCTTCATCTTCTTACCTATCTATGAAATAATTTGGCTGACTGTACGTGTAATTATATATTATAATCTGACAATTATAGCAATACATATTATAATAAAATAGCGTTTCTAGATCCTTATTTACTTAGCAGGTTTTTTTCTTTAATATGACTTACATTTCCAAATTTTATAGCATGAAGTTAAGAAACGCTTGTAGGCTTAAAACAGAATGCACAGACATGAAAAGCAAGCGAGAGTAAAGTTTAGAGAAACATCTAATCTGAAGATCAGTCAAATATTTGTAACTTTTACAATCAAATCAGAACTTTATTCTTCGAAGGACACACTCCATGATATTATTTCTATTTCATTGGTGAAGAAGGGTTGGAAACTCAAGTTATAATGTAAAGCGTCTCCCAACATTCCACCAGGCACTTAGTGTGAATACGAAAAAACCCATTGTATATTCCTTATGTTACAAATAAATATTTTACGAATAAACAATACAAATCACTGCTAAACTAATAAATAAATGGCAAACTATGTTTATCGCTTCTATAACAAATTACAAAAATAATTCCGTAACCAAACAAACATACCTATTTATGTTGCTAATATATCCGTTCCTTTCCTACAGAAGCTTGATTATAAAAGTCTAGAACGTTAATACAATAATTGCTTAATATTTTTAATAAAATCACGTCCACTTAAATAACAACTACGAATGATTACAGCTATACGAGCCAAACGTATTTCTATACAAGTCGAAGCCTAGCTGTATTACGAAATATCATATTTTTTATCTAAAAAGTATAACTATCGTAACCCATCAAATATAACTATATTAAAATACATATATCAGTTAAAATAATAATCTAAATTATGTAAATAGTAATAAAAAAGTACACGATGTTACTAAAAACCGAGTATATTATTGTAATATTGTATTTTCCTACTAGCAGCGGGACACTACATAATTTACTACAGCTATAATCATAAATTATTCGTACGTATATTTGCGTCACGAAGCCACAAAGTTAATGGCTCCACGTTATTGATAGTTATTTCATCTCCCACGCCATTATTACCCTTTAGCGTAAAACTTTGTTTATTGAAATTGATCGATAATTGCTAACACTTTCACATTCCAAAACAAAATAAATATTTTACTTTCTATAATGGCACATTAAATGCAATGCATTCTGCTTAATTGTCCAAATTAATGTTGAAACATTTGAAGTAACTCGCAGTACTGTTACTTGCACTCCAAGCGCACTGGGATGATATGACGCTGGCCTCCTTTACTCCTTAGATTTGTATTTTGAACCGTTCCCCCTCGGAGCAGTTCTGGAATGATTGCTATTGAATGAGTGGAGAGCTCTGACTGTCACTGAAGTCAAGGGTGTAGTACATGTCGGTGGTGTCCAGAGTGTTGGAAGGCGGGGGGAAAGGGGCTGCAGCAGGAGGAGCGCGCTTGTCTTGCAGCCAGTGGTGCGGCGGGCCTGGCTCCGTGACCCGAGACAGGCGAGACAACAGCCGGGAGTAAGTCTTGTTCACTCGGCAATGGCAGGCCGTCACCTAAGATACAAAACAAACTTATCAATGCATAGCAGATGTCTGCGGGAGCGTTACGCTACGACACGCACCTTTTCTTTGCAACGCCCCAATTAGCAACTCGTAATCCTGTGCAATCATTTCATAATAGCACTCTAGCATAATGATTACAGCATGCAATGATTTTAATCAGTGTGTAGTTAAAAAATCGAAAATCAAAGCAACAGTGGTTGAAGTTCTTTGGAAAACTGTATCGTAGCAAAACGCTACGAGTCTAGGAATCTCGTAGCACCCGTGGCCCGTAGCCCGAACCCTCAATATATTCGTATATAGGTACCCAAATTTTTTATAAATATTTTCTTTAATTACTTCAACTGTATGTGTATTATATGACATTGTCAACTAAAAGATATAACTAGTTACACTATAGTCCTAAGTGAACCGAACACGCTGAGATTGTTCATGAAAACTTTACGATTCTCGATTAGTAATTAACTAATTATTGACGAACCACTTTAGGTATAAGTCACTTTAATGGCAAGTAACTTATACCTAAAGTACTCAATTTTGCTCGCAATCGAAGTAAGTTATTAAAGAATAAGTAACTTTAATATATAAAAATGTACTTACAACAACTCCAACAATAGCAATAGCAGCTCCAAGTGTACCGGCTGCAATGTATACATTGTGAAGTCTATCATGGTACAATCCCAGTGGCATCCGCACCTCACGAACAGAGCCTCCTCCACTGTTCTCAAGCCTGCCTCTACGAGGCTCTACATCCATACCACCCTCGCTCCCGACCACTGATTCCAGAATAAAGTCCTCTGTAACGTAAAGCGAAAAGTAAATGTATATCGGTGTAGCGTGTGAGTAAAGTAAGGAAATTAATAAGAAATGCTGAGCCGATTAACAGATGACAATATGGTCTACGTAAGTGCTACTAAAATGCTACGAAATATTTTATTCCTAAAAAAATGTTTTATTTTAATTTTATTTTTGAGATATTTTATTTTCCCTTATTCCTAGAATAGTGATCAGCTACACAACTGGCGAGCTAAAAGTTCTATCAAAAAAAATATTGTGTTCTTTTAAGCACGCAGTCCTGGGGGCTTACTCTTGAATCCAATTCCGATCGATCGACATTTGTATTGCGAAATTTCGTACTCTTGAGTTGCAACACTAGCGCCCATTGCATCAGTATTTTTTTTAAGGGGGGAAAATCATCGAATGACTGCTCCCGCCTGGGTGAGGCGAGAGTGTCAGACTCTTACTGACTAAAAACCACACCGTTCCTTGTCCTGCACGTCGAGCCGGAGCCCCGGTAACCTGTTAGGTTCTCCGCGACATTGCATCCGTATTGCGTGGATATTGAATGAACTAAATGGTTTGAGTTTGTATACATCTCGTACTCTAAATGCTAGCTGCGGTTATGGTTGTATAGTTTTGACATTGAATAATTATTGAGATTTTATTGGATTGAAATTGCATTGACATTGAGATTGGTTTCAAGAGTAAGCACCCTGAACAGTGCAAAACAGTATGGTATTGTGATAAAAGCATGACTTTATGTTAAAGTTCAATTATTTTTGTTAATATATAATCGGTGTTGACCGTAGGCTATGTGAATAATGTAAAAAAATAAAAATGGTGATTGGAAGACCGCAATGGAACGCCTACGCAAGTGCTACGAAAATGCTACGAAATATTTATTTTATGTTATTTTTTGCAAGAAACTTATTTTAATAATTAATTATGATTATGACTTAGATAAATTTTGCTATAACATAGAGAAGTTACGTCGTTATTACCTTCACAAAGTTTTCCTGTATAGCCGGGCCGACAAGAGCAGTAGAAAGACTCGATCCCACTCCAACATGTTCCGCCATGTGCACAGGGGTTGTTGTCACAAGCCTGGAAATGTAACAATTTTGTCAAATTGACTTAATTAAGGTCTGCCTTAATCATAATAGCGATCACTATAATGCTACAAAAACATAAATATTTGGAACTACGGGTCTCTCTGACTTATTATATCAACTATCACCTACTAGCTTCTGCCAGCGGCTTTTCCCGTGGAATAAAAAGTAATCTTTATATTATATCAGACCATAATCTATCGCTATTCCAAATTTTAACCCGATCCTTTCAGCAGTTTTGACGTGAAACAGTAACAAACACACACAATAAAGGCATAAAGGCATTATTGTTCATTCGAATAAAAGCTTGTAAAACATATTATTATTAACTATACGTAGTAGTATGAAGTTAAAGATTTCACTTACAGATCTGGTGGGGATATGACACTCATCGCCGACAAATCCGAGAGGACACTCGCAGGCGTAACTATTGCCGCGATCCAGACAGATCCGATGAGAAGGGCACGGACTTGGGGAGCAGAGGTCCACCTGCCAAATATAATTCAAATGTCAGTTTATTTCTCATCACAAATACAATAAATACCATAATACTAATAATATCTCAAGACAAGAACTCGACTAAGATACGTAATACCTGTATTGTGAATCAGTCTTTATTTATTTGTCATTTGCAAACTGTTGTACGACTAAATTGGTAAACTTGATAGAGATGATGAATATTACCAAAGCCATAGATTTAAATGTGTTTACCTATGTAACAATACTAAGGGTACTAAGGGTTAAATACCTAATTACCTTACAAAATGTCAGACACGTGTTAGATAGCTAGTATATGTCGACTTGGTAACATGAAGGTTAGAATAATCTTTCCTTTCTTCTTCTGGATCTTAATCCAATCATTAAGAATTTAATACTTTTACTGTACCTACATAACAATTTTTGTAGCCTTTTTTATTCTACGAAAGGAGTACTGTTTTGTGGTATCCCATATTATCAAAAAGGTACAATATTGTAGGTACCCAAGTCAAACCACATGCATGTCAAGGTAGAATTCATACGGAGTTATCAGAAAATCTGCTTTATATTCAGTTCATTGATTTTCAAAAACGTTTCTGACTTGATATACGTTTTTGAATCTAAACGATGTTTGAACATGAACGGCATGACGTTGTCTCGTATGCAATCTATTGAGATATAGCATATCACTTGTACTATGTAATATAATTTTTTATACAAATAAATCTTATTAACATTAGTTAAGCGATTGAGGAGAAGGATATTCTTGAGATTAAATTCTATATTCAGAAAAAGCAATTTAAAAACTGATATAATTCCCAACAAAGCTTCTTTTTCGTAAAATAAATTTTCGGCGATTTCATTCCTTGCAATTCTACTAATCTTGGATTATATCACAGTAATCTTATTAACATGAACAGAGCGTCCGTAGGTCAGTCACCGACAGACAAGAAATTAAGAATAACAATGACAACAAAGATGCATGCAGAATATTAATGTTTTGTTGATAAATCCGAACTTTTGTGTACTAATAATCATTAGGACTTGCGTGAAGTATTTTTGTAAATAAGCCAAAAGACAAATAAATATATCCAATTCTATGATGAGTTCTGATTAGTACAAAGGGATAATCAGTTCGAAGAAATCCCTAATGGCTTAACAAGCTTCCTCAATTTATCATGAAAGAGATTCAACCACGGAGTGTTCTCATTTGATTACATTTAATGTACTGTGTGTAGTTACTGTCATCAGATGAATAATTGTGATGGAAACTTAAGACTTTAGATATCTAGATTCTGCCATGGGATAAAAACCTGTTTTTTTTTGAACATGTATGGGATCCTATTTTTGTTTGTGAAAAACAGAAGTAAAATAAAAATAATGTTCGCTAAAATGGTCACAGACGGCGATATCACCTCATTATCATTTAGTATTAGTATGAGAATAGCGTAAACTGACCTTGAGCTGACACGTGTTGCCGGTGTAGCCGCGACCACACGAACACGCGAATCCGCCGACGCGGTCGGTGCAGGTGCCCCCGTTGGCACATGGAGACGACTCACATTCGTTGTACTCCATTTCACAGCGTTCACCCGTGTATCCTACACCAAGGAGTTTGTAATATATAGATAGATCATTTTTGGGAACTGCTTCTTCAGTTCAGTCTAGTTAAAATGTCGGGAAAATGCAAATTTTGACATTAATTCGCTTTAATCACGCATGGATTATTGCGAGTACTATCAAAAACATATAACCTAAAGTTCGAGTTTCTTCGACTTTATATAACGACGCAACTTACCATAACTTAGCCGTATTATCTCATTATGTACATTTCGTAAATTATACCCATTTGACTCAAGCACCCATAAGTAAGAAAATGGTTCTTTTTCATCTCAATCAAGACCGAGACTCATCTACAAAATCAAGTGTTTCATTTAAATAACAGAATTCGTAAGTCGCATGATGGTACAGTTTAAGATAAATCTTGTAGTTCATTTCTTAGGAGTGTATAACAAATGTTTATCTTTTAAGGAAAATATATAAGAAGAGACGGGAGAGAGAAAAAGCTCGCAACTTCCTTATAACAAGGCCCAATCTGTCCCGAGGGATATTTACTTGCAGCCCGCAATGAAATGTTCCTTCACTAGAAAAATACTCTTGATTAATTCACTCCGATTTATTTAGCGTAGTAAAAAGCTTATTTGTGTATTCCAGAAGTTAATACATATTTTTCACATTAAATTAATAGTCCAAACGGAACACATTTGAATTACAAATTCTCAAACATTATACTGCTTTTTGAGTGTTGATTAAATTTGATTTATTTATTTAGATATGTTTGTAATGTATCTGAGCGAATGTTTATCGTAAATATGTTCATCATTATGTTAATTGATTCACAACATCCCATCTGTATATTTAATTAATAAAGCGGTAATGTGCTATTAGCCCCGAGGTGCAAAGTGGTGAATGTTCAATTATTACTTAGTATTCAATATTCACTGTGAGACATGATCTGTATAGTATATTTTATTGAAATGAATGAACCATTTATTTGTACGTAAATATTTACAGTAACTACCTACTACCTACGAATTTTTCATGTGATATGTGTATATACTATTAATATTATTCATTTCACTGAAATGTAGCCTATGCGAGCACGCACCATTTTTATTCTTCGCAACTAAACACCTTTTCTACAATAACGGGTCGATACAGTTAAAATGGGTTTCTTCTATTATGTTGCAAAATTTATCTAAACCTAGTTTTAAACGAAGCCTTCAGAGTTAACAATGAGTGGAGAAACCGCATGAGACCGCACAAGGGAGCGGGTGTGGGCAACCTTCCAACTTAAGTCCAATAAATCAGAGCGCAAATTTGCTGTACAGAGCCCACATACAAGTTTCGACCATTATTAAACTGACCTAGCTCTAAAGCTTCATTTGTCCTTCAACTAAGCTTTAGCCTTCACACAAAAATATAATGAATTAAATTACGAGTTCGTGCCGTGACATGCATAATGAAATTAATTTAGTTACGAGTATATGCATTGATATATTGTAACATTCCTTTAATGGATTGCTCTTCTGCTATAATCACTGTACTAACGTGTAGTTATTTGCTTTCAATGTCTGAAATCTATTTAATAGTCTTCTATAATAGAATCAACTGAAATTACCTCCACCATAGAGTTGCTATGAACATATATGTAGCTATAACCTAACCCAAAATAAACGAAAATATTTTTACATATCGGGACCGCGCAGGTCGGGGGACCGACGACAGATGCTGTTATTTGTTTAGTTCGCTTGACTGGTATAATATACTCGACCGAATTCTTTTACGACGACAATATTATTGAAAAAGAAATAATGTGGCATAACCATATTAAAGTCGATATTTGATGTAAAAGAAGTTAACTAAACTGTTCGTTCTAATAATGCAATTATTAAATCAAAAATCAAATGGCAATAGACTCACCCCCTATTACATGGGACTCATAATATAAATATTGAAAAGTGGGTGTTACATTGTACAGTGGTATAATGTGCACCTCTGCCTACCCCTTCGGGAATAACAGGCGCGATGTTATGCTATGTTATGTTATGTTAAGTCAGTCAAAATGCCTACGCGGTGCAATGGATATTGACTAGCTCTATAATCGAGCCAATCCAACGGCAGGCTCTTTGTGATTGTCATGATGTTTATCTACAAATTGATTGATACATACATTCCCAGCAGTGTGTACTTATTGCGAATAATACTGCGGGCTACAATTGTTAGTAAGATAAACCTAAGATAAGCGACCTATAAACCGAGTGGGCGCAGCCACCAATAGATCACTAAAAACTAGAATAAAGTTGCAAACGATGTGTTTACAGCTCATTCTACACTAATTAACTCACCCGTGATTAATGATGTTAAGAGCCTCAAAAGTGTAATTTATCTGAACGTAAAATTGGGTGAAATAAATCCTCGCCTAAGGAAAATAATTGCAGGCACAGAGCCATTTAGGAGCAATAGCGAGGTGGGTATGAATAACGATTCGAGTATAAATGACGCAACTAATTTGAGGAAATGGTCCATCATTAGATCCGTATTGTTCCGGACGTAGTCACGCGCCGTACTCTCACGATGTGACGTTCTAAATATGACAAACGCTAATAGCCACTTCGTCGCACTTGTGAAGCGAGATGATGATATCAAATTAAATTACAAAGAGATATAATGACGTATTGTGTCTACTTAAATATTTTTAATTAATTCACACCATCTAGTTGTTTTACCAGCATTTCAGCTTTACATTATCACAGACATGCGATTCTGTAATTTGTACTCATCGCGACCTTTCATTTCGAAGGTATGTTGGGTAGTGGAGTAATAAACCTTTCTCTAAATTCTTTTGTTCCCATTTATTTACCTTACACAGTGACGCACATAGTATTCAAACTAGTAGAAAGGAGGCACCTTGTACTATACTTCGTATGTACCTAATAGTATAAAATAAAGGTAAGAAAATAAATATGAATGTATTTCTCACCAGGTTGACAGAAACAGCGATAATCTTGTCCCTCGACGTCGTTATCAGTTTGCTCGATACAGATACCCTTCACGCAAGGATTTGACATACAGGCGCCTCCGGATATAGAAAGCTCGCAGTGCGCGCCAGTCCAGCCGTCTGCGCACGCGCAGTGAAATGTTGTCGACCCATTCATCGCCATACTCATACAGGAGCCACCATTCAAACACGGCGATGAGTAGCACGGGTCCCGCTCACATTTTCTGCCAGTAAAACCTGTAGATACGAATACCGTGTAAATATTTCTATACATAGATGAAATATCAAAACATGCTAATTATTTGTTAACTAGGTACTCCGGTTTCGCTACACAAACGAAGACTTTCGGAAAAGTACAAATTGTTTCTCTGATTCAAAGTACAAATATCAAATTCCTTAACAAAAGTTACGCAATCCCTGCTTTTGTGTTAAAATGTTCAACAAAGAATAAAAAGTTTAATTCTGATTAGCTTATTCAAATTAAATCTGAAATGAAAATAATGAGGGGAAAGCTTTGCGAGCCATGTTGTGGTTTTACCCATGTTGAACGATACGTTACGTGGGGTACTGTGCAAAATAAATGTATCTGGACATACCTACAAGCTGTATTTATTGTATGGACAAACATTACTGGGCGCATAGTTACGTGACGCCGCGCGCCATGCGGTCACCAGATTGCGTCACATAGTGCTCAATTCACCAAAAACAAAATTTATTTTCAGTATCATTATTAAATTGTTTTTATCTGCTTTTACCAAGTGAGTAGCTAAATGTCACTCGTTTGCCCTCCGGCGCTACTAATCTAAAGTCTCTCCTTTCACCGTTTAGAAGGTCAAATTGAAACTTTTTGTTTCGTTAGAAAGATCAATAAAAGTCGTCAGATATATTTTAAACATCTCCATCGGCACGATACAATGAGGTACATCACAAATCCTATAGAGACCGTGCATTGAGTCTCACAATCAGAACACTATCTCCCGCGTCCTATACTTTCGAACATCTCCCCATACACCGCCACTTTGGACGGCTCTATTTACGGGTCATCTAGATAGTCGGTTACTCCTTATTCCATTTTCGTATTATATAAATCCATGATCGAAATGGAATCCTCGCGAATGAATGAATGAAATCGACTGAGAAAAGAGCTTACCATTGCCAGCCAAAGAAATTCGTTATTGAAAAGATTTATCTTTTGTAATCTCAATGACAACAAATAAATCAATATATTTTCAGCCTGATGCTTAACAAGATGATAATATTTAAATATTTAACGGTTGTTATTTATATTGCGAGATTTTATAAATAAGCCGTAATAAAAATATCACATAACGTGACTAGCACAAACAATATGCACATTATATGTACCATAAGGACAGAGGCAACGGTAGTTGGCGCCGTTGAGAGGTTGTGTGAGGTCGACACAGATGCCGTTATTGAGACACGGTGACGGATTGCACGCGTCCCGCTCCTCGCAGTGCGGGCCCACGTACCCTGGACAGCACTGACACTCGTACCCTTCCTACAAACACATCACGTCGATTATACTGTCACCTACACAACCCTTATCACGACTTCTTCAATATATTACATACCATTGAAACGTTAGTGTAACACACACCCTTCCCCGAGCAATCTTCAGACTCGCCGCAGTTGTCCGACTTCACGGTTACTTTTAGTCGCACACATTGAGACTTCCAATTTTCTGACACAACTAAAACAATCAAGTATAAGTTAGAAGTAGTATTTCCGAGGTACGTATATGTATGTAGCAATAAACACGAAAAGATATCAAATAGCACGCGTGAATGAGTTTTCACACTGCTTACTTCGGCACGCAATACATTATACGCCGGGAATTCCGCACATATCTATTGTGCGATCGTAGAATAAAACCGTCGTCGTTTACGTTTTTCCCTCGCACTTCCTTCCATCTTCCGGTCTATAATATACATATCTTAACAATTTCATCGCTATACGTTTTAAAAGCACCTACTTCTCACGCTATTTTCAAATAGAACGAAGTTATAACTTTTCCTTGATTTTAATGGAAAAGTAAAGTGAGAGAAAGTGAAGTGATATGAGATGAAGCATATTATTTACCTATCAGTAAATTTACTCCTTCTGTAAGATCCTTGTCGTAAAGCGTGAAAAGTTTTGCTCCACGCTCGTCTAGTGGTGTGATGTCCAGTAACATTCCGTCAGAGACATCGCAATGCTCATGGCCCTGCCGTGTCACTTGGTACACGGCTGGCTGCAGCAGTGTACGATGTACCCTGGAAAATCAATCGCTGTTACGATACGATAAACTGGTACGGGTCACCGCTTAACTCTGCCAGCGACGATATAGGTCATACAGATTTACAGTTTTATAAAAATAACTGACCTTTCCCCATCACCATGAGAAGATTCAGAAGTGCCGTTCTTGGCGTCGACTTGACCGAAGGTGTCGAGTAGTAAGGAGTCCGCGATGCGGACGATAAGGATGTCTCCGCTCTGTATGTCGGCAGAGCCCTCCCACGACACGATGACCGGGGGGCACTCCTCTTCGGGCGCACCCGGCGCGGCTCCCCCGCCACCGCTCCCTGCGCACTCCTCCGCCATCCGCACCACAAAGTCACACACACATTAATTAATTATCAAGTCAACCTCTGTGAATACTAATTCAAACAGGCTGCCATATTATTTAGTGTACGTTTCAATATGCATAAGCGACTAACTGCAGCTTTCAATTACAGCTTATAATGTGTGACATTACGGCCGTTCCCAATATTCAATCCATAGGTAAAGATAGATAGCTATCCTCGATAGTCAGTTAAAAGCTATCTATCTTTCGATGTCGTCCCAATAACTAAAATGTGTCTTTGCTATCTCTAGATATCAGTAGATAGGGTGCCTATCTGAGCCCTCCCATGTGTTTCATTGTATGCAGAGCCCCACAGAGTGCCACTAAGTTACAATAATGTTTTCAAAGCATCTTGTCATGTTTATATCACAAACATTTTGAATTAATTAACGAAACCTTATATTTTGCACAAATTTTATAGTAAACAATATATTTTTTTAAGTTAAATATAACGAAAACTTCATGTTTGCGACTGGATGAGTGCGCGACTTGTAACGGAACGTGTTTGTTAAAACATTGACATTTGACATTGTTGTTTGTTGATTTTGTTTACAATAAATTATGATAATATAACAAAGAATTGTTTGTTATAATAAATGAGCTCAGTAAGTATTACAGTTTGTGCTTTTCTAGCTTTAGATTGAAGCTATTGAAGTTTAGTTCTATGGCTTTCACTGAACTTTTATACTTGGATTGTTGAATATTTTTTGTTGTTTGCATGAACATACATGTGACTAATAACTCGTGTTTGGTGCACTCATTGTAGCAAAAGAATATGCTATTGACGAAAGAAGAAGTAATGCAGCTGGTACAATTGGTGGAGGCAAATCCATTGATGTTCAGCAAAGTCACAAATGCCAGCAATAACCAGCTCAAGGATGCGACTTGGAGGATTAGGTATCACAGATAGTTTCTTGTATATTTCATTTTTGGGGTTTGGTATTGGTTATGACTATTTACTTTTCAATACTGTTTAGTTATAAAACTTTTATATGGTGAGGAGCAAAATGGAATAATACACTATAAATAATATTATAATTATAAATAATATTTTTCTAGGAAAACAGAAAAGACGAGCTGATGCAGATGATATGAGTCAATAACAGATCGAAAAGAAATACATGCATTAAAGAAACGGAAACTCTAGCTAGATATACTGGAGAAGGAGAAACAACCCAATAATAATTCATATAATTAAATAAAATAAAACAGTTTATTCTAAACCATCTTTTTATTACACTATGCATTTTGCACATTCAATGTTTATCTCATTTCTCGTCCACTGGAACACTTAATTAAAATAAAGATGTAGGTATGAATAACGGACAAGTATAAAATTCTCTAATTTAGTCTTCTTAGCCTAAATCTATACACAAACTCGTAATCGTCATATCTGTACATGTAATTAACACGCTCTTGATATGGTCGTGTTGTGGTAACCACATCGTCCTCGTCAGATTCCCAGTTCCTTATTTGTTTCAAAATATCAATAGCACTTGAACTACTACTTGAACTGGAGTCCGAAATGATTTTTTGTTTAAATCTGATGTATTTTTAAGAAATAGAAAAGATATATATACTGATCTTCACTGATAACTATACTCCTATCCCTCAAAATTCTGCGATAGAGCTAAAGCCTACTAGGGATAACCAAAGTCACTGACAGATAGCACCTTTGTTATTATTGGGACGCATGAACTGTCAATTTCATAGTAAAAGCAATCTGTAGATAACCTATCCGTCCTCCCACAGGTAATGACAACCATAGATTAGTTTGCCTATCGCCAGTAAGTTTATTGAGACGGCAAATTTAAAGATAGATAGATTTTTCTATCTCCAGTAGGGCAAAACAAGGGATAGATAGAATATTGGGAACGGCCGTAAGACTTAACAAGATGACAGGCGGCATGTGCCGGTACAAAATATAGCACAGTAGAATAATCGTCAGAGACCGAGGTCAGTAATGTCGACATTGTCAAGCTGTAACGAAGAACTATGTGCCACGACAACGGGGAAATATGTATAACCTCCTAACTTTCATGCATGAGTTAATTGCCGTGTTTAAACAGGAACAAAGTCAATTCCATTATAGGTAGGAGACTGTTTCATCGTCACCGAGACACAACAATCCAATCGTACATAAATAATGGATTAGACGTTTTCCTTAACAGAAGTAATGAATAGAGTTCAACCACTGGAGCAAAAAAGCTTTTTTCCTTATTTCTCCTTCAGTAAGACGATTTATGGTTTATGTATTTGACCTCGGCATGCTCGCTGTCACGATCAAAGTTGTGCGAACAAGAATATTATACACTGAAATAAGGGAGCGCGCGGAAGAAAAGCCATTGTATAAATTGCCAATGGAGATTAAGTTTAGTACATTCATGACTCGCAACTTATTTATAGCCGATACTGTTTCAAACTTCATAGCACCATTACGTGCATAATGTGTCTTTCAATAAACTTGCGATGGCGATATAATGACATAGAATGCACTGAACTATATCTATACTAATATTATAAAGAGGAAAAGATTTGTACCTATTTTTGTGTGTTTGTAATAAATAGGCTCAAAAAGTACTGGGCCGATTTAAAAAATTCTTTCACCAATAGAATGCTACATTCTTGCAATTTGACATAGGCTATATTTCATTCATGAAAAAAATTAGGGATCCTTGGTAAAATTTGAACAATGTAACCGAAGGTGTAGAAAAATGAGTCTTAAAATGTCTTTCGTCGAATGCGCTGCCAAAACTATTATAGCGATAGAACAAAATAATGTACAACAATATTGAAGAACATAATGTCTACAAAAAACTCCGCGGTAGCATATGTCCAACTATTGTAGTTATGTCACTACAACAATCCAAATTTCCAAAACTAAATAATTGTCTACCCCGTGCGAAGCCGGGACGGGCTGCTAGTATTTAATATATTTATTGTACTTACTTCCAACCTTTACGGTGAAGCATGCCATTGTATAAATATGACATTTGACTCCAATTATGTAATTGAAACACGTCAAACAGTATGTGTGTCAGATTTTATTAATATGTAACCTACTGTGCAGGTAGGCTACTTACTGGAATTGTTGACAAACACTTACATCCAACGACAGACTCGAACATAAAACAAAAGAACGTAACAGGCTCAACGGTACGGGAATTCTAGCGCAATGTTTCTCATTGAGATAATACACTTCTAGGCCCAAGGGATCATGCCAACAGTAAAAAATGTAAGACCTACTTACTATGTATGAATTCCAAGAGATTGTGAATAAGTCTTTCCCTGGAAAATGTAGCGCAAAATATAAGTGCTAGGTCGGTATGAATTACGGTCTGCTACATCATCACCTTTATACCTTCTTTGTTTTATGATCATAACCACGCTAAACGCAAATAATCTTGGATATATATTGGAAGAGGAACTATCTACTTCACTACACTACTACTGAAAGTTGTTAATTAGAAATGTACAGAGATTCAAAGTAACACGACGCACCAAATTATATGATAAGAACACTTGCTTTAAAAAGAAAATGACCTGCCGATTCTGACAATAAGTATTCTATCTGATAATAAGTAGATCTAAAGAATGCTTTCTCCAATCTACGAAAACAAACAATCATTCTAATCTGCTTAGTTCCTAAACTAATCGCAATTAGAAAATAAAAGACAATTAATTTAACTAACTGCTTTAATGTAGTCAAACGCTCGGCAAGGTAACTAAACGGATAGTTATGGATGGGTAACGATTAGTCAGTTTCCTGCTACCCTCAGGTAGCTTACCCACTCGTGTTACTTTTGTATCACCATTTTCCAAGTGGCTGAATGTCCAATCTCCCAATAAATTAGTACACTATTTAATGATATTCATTGGAATATGCTAGCGACGATGATTAATGCTAATCCGAATATGAATATAAACAACATTTTCTCTATCTTTGATAAAAGAAGCCCATAGTCCAACAAGGACTCGACACAAGCTATTGATGATGATGTAGCTAATGGACGAACACGTTTATATTCAAAGAGAAATAAAGTTAGTGATCGAAAAATAAAAAAGCGTACTTATTAAAAGTGTCTTCAAGAAACTCTTGATCGATCTCACAATCAATCAGCCTATTTTCTACAAAAATACGCATTGTATTTTCCCTAAGTATAAAAGCACTTTACATAGATACTTGACTTAAAGTAAGATTAGTGAGGTCGTTGCGTCCGATGCTTCAAGTGGATAGATTAGCCCGGATGACACTCAATTAATATGAAAGGTAATAGGAACCCGGCTGCCAAGAAGAGGTAAACTACTTGTAACTAAATAACCTCTCTGAACCGGCTAAATGTTATGTAATTTTCTCAATTTAGATAGAATTTTTCTCAAAGTTAGATACAACGTCTAAAAATGAGAATGAACGTAACGTAACGTACGTCAAATACCTATTTACCTACCTACTGGTGCCTACCTACTGTTTGATTCCCATAATTTTGCATGTGATTTCGTACACGCATAAAAATCTCGTGTTTTCCTATTGCCGGGGAATTTTGGGATATCCTTCTTAGTGATCCCCTATACTTCCCACGGGAACTATATGCCAAATTACACCTTTCTACGACCGATAGTTTCAAGAGTGCGATCACTCACTCAGTCACAAACCGCCAAAGAGTTTAATATAAGTATAGAATTCCACCTGAAACTGTCAAACACCAAGCGGTCACCAGTGACCGCAACCTATTGTTCTATAATTGTGTCTACAAAACCGGTACTCGACGAGTTAATATGTTTTTTTTTCAAGATGTACGATACCTACTTCAAATCAGTGTTATTTACAGGCAAATTCTTCTCTCTACACTTCACCTCCAAATTAACCTTTCCCAAATCTGTCTCTGTTCACAATGTGCTTAAAAATGGCCTGAAAGGGTACTTGAAAACATCTCACGTTTCATTAATGTAGAAATTATGAATAATAAATGGAAAATACTTTTTTGCTCTGAAAAACAAAACGACTCGTCTAATTTCTAAGCGCGACACCCTAACATGGTGTTGTAGACTTTTTTAAACGAATTAAAAAATCAGAATGTTAATAGCATTTAGTCGGTCGTGCGTGCGTGTAGTTCGCGACTTCGTGTGACGGATTTATTAACTTGCGACACAATCAGAATACACGATATTTCCATAAATAAACTTTGTTCTACTTCAACATCAGTACTAACATTTACATGGTGGCGCTTATGTTATCACATTACATTGAAAAGGAGTTTATGAGTCGATTCTGTTGTAATAATCAGGCCCGCCGCTAGCTATTGGAGCGCCCGCGTGCAAAAACCGATTATGCCGCCCTCCTCTTTGTTGGGTGGGTAAAAAGTCATCAAATGATTCTTGAGGAAGTGACTCTTACAACTTTTACTAACTAAAAACCACCCCATTCCTTCCAACACTTGCTCAAAAGCCAGGGCCTCAGTACCCATTTTACAGCCTAACCTCCAGCAAGGCAACAATCCTGGTGGGCCCCGTCTATGGTGGTCTGATGGCTCTTTGAGGCCCGCATTTTACGCGACGCGCCGTACGCTCGGGTCTGGTACTTGTAAGGTGGTGAGCTATCCTTGCTTGCCTTTCTCAAACTTTGCCAGTTTCCGATAACCCGAACCCTCGAAAATGATAGAGGATACTCGATAGCTTTCGAGTAACTCTCGAATTTAATCGAAGACGCTCGATAGTTTTCGAGTATTTCTCGACAGTGTTCGACGGCGAAATAACTTTAGAATATTATCTAATATAACATAACATCACGTCTTTTATCCCCGAAGGAGTAGGCAGAGGTGCACATTATGCCACTGTACAATGTAACACCCACTTTTCACTATTTATGTTATGAGTCCGATGTTAGTGTAATAGGGGGTGAGCCTATTGCCATATACCGTGCACAATTCCAGACTTCGTGTTACTACTGAGAATTTATAAAAAAAAAACCAGTAATACTTTGCCCGACGCAGGATAGAATATTCTATAGCATATTACAAACTATAGTCTAGGTATACGTAATACCAGTGGTGTTAAGATGCTTTGTCCAAAATCAAAACTCGACATTGAATCGTAACAAATCTACCGTCTGCTAAATAACAAACAGAATACATTCCATGGCAGGCGCAGTAGCAATCCACTGGGACTCTCATACAACAGTGATCGTCTCAGCCTGATAGTGATACGAATACACAAAGAGGTCAGCTCTCTGGAGTATCATAACAAGAAAATGAACACCGTCTGACAACCGCTAGTTAATAAATACTAACGAATATAGACTACAATATCCAAAGGGGCTGCTGTCTACGAAACTGAATGACAAAGGGATTGTCGTCGTTGTGAAACTAGATAATGAACTAGGATATTATGTTTCTAGTTCATTTAGGTGAAACATTTTATCATAATGTTGTGGACCGTACAACATTGTTTGTATAAACTGAGTTCATAATTAGAATATTTGACTCAATGTAGAATATATATATGTACGGCCGTGTTAATGGCTACATACTTACAGTGACCGGCAGATTGAGTTCGTGTGTCTCGTTGCCGCGCCAGAGGCGTGACTCCCGAGGCAGCACGGGCAGATCGCAATCTATCGCCCCCAGCCGCTCTTGTAGGCGCGCTGGTGAATGCGCCGCGCCGAGTGCACTAGAACTAGTGTTTAACTTTTGCCTTCTTGCACTTTTCACTACCTCCTTTGTGCTTGTGTACACTTTAGTAGTTGAATGACGTGCGGTAGCCGGGCTCTCCGTCGCCACGAACGCTTTTGTTGTTTTTAAGCTATTCTTTGTAGTTGAAGATGCAGCAGTCGAGGCCACTGTAGTCACTAATGGTTTAGTGAAAAGCTTTTTGAGTGGTGAAGTCACTGGGCCTTGAGAAGTGGATACTGTTTTAATCTCGTCTTGAGAAGATAAAGTGTGGTCACAGTAACAAGCGGCGGCTAATGACAAGATTAGCGCACTGGCCATTAACAAAGAGTGTGGTGTCGTTCTGTGACCGGCCATGGTGCTTTGTTTCATATTACTTACTGTTGTTTACAGTTTATCGAACTTAATTTCTATTCTAAATGTATTTGGCACAACCACTGTATTTGTAGTTCGTAAATTGTCGGGGAGACCTGGAGGAACGAGAGCAGAATATTATTTTTGTACAAAATAACTTGTAAGTATACAAATACAAAATGTACCTTTAATAACAATCGAAACAACGGGAAAAGATATGTTAGGTATTGTGTCTAAAATGAACAGTTGGCCCACGTGATGCTTATTATAAGCACTCGTATAACTACGGCCGGTACTAAGAAAATTCAAAATCAAAGTTTTAACCTTTATTATACCCAAATATAAATATACGTACTTACTAAGCATCAAAGAGAAGATGTTCCTTTAAAATTATTTTTAGCCTCACAGTATAACAACGTTAAGAACCCTCCCATTGTCTATGTTTTAAAAATAAACCTGAACGTCTTATTGTGAAACACCTCTTGATGGAAACATCTATAATTGGACAACCTTTAAAGCCCTTTGGCTGAGTGGCGACCCTCTTCAAAAACGAGTGCAGCCCTCAGATGAACTTAAGATAGCTCATTTAGAATCACAAAGGGTTATATCATTAACTACCAACATAAATTGTTATGATTCAGTAAAACAATAATTGGACTGTATCTTAAGGTCGAAATAATAAACTTTTCAACTCAATTTCTTTGCTTTGTTTAAATCTACTTGAAACTTGTACAACTTAAGCTAATATTTCTGTAGAAAACCATGCCTAAGTGAAATTAAGATAATATAAAGTTAACCTCCAACGTGAGAACAAAAAAGACTAAACGATAAATAAATACAACTATTCTGAAATAACCTTCAATAAAATTTTCAGTTGATTTGAGCAATTTATACTTACGTAAGAACGCAGAAATGATAATAATATCAATATATGGGTGAAAACAAATGCTTCCACAACAAATTCACGAAAAAGATAAACAGTTCAATCTTATGTTACATTTCCACAACATTCAAATATAATAAATAATTTCGACCAACGTCCCGGTTTATTCAGTAAATAAATCCTTCCTTACAATTAAACCAAAACGTGATTAATTCGCATACATTAAGTTGAGCAAATATCAAAACAAATCAAGCTCTGATTAATTTATGTGTGGAATGAAACAATGTTTTGGCAGGGCGGCAGCGTAGCACAGGGCGGGCGACACAACCGGCCGCAGCCTCCGCGACACTGAGGGCGGCCGAGGCGCCCCGCCACCCTGCCACCCTGCCGCCCGCACCCTTGCACCCCTCTCGCGCACCCTCACACGCCTGTATCTTTACTTCATTTTACTCCACGCCTGTATTTTCAACGATTTCCTTAGCGTTAGAAAACTCGAAGCGTGAGTCTTTTGAGTTTTCTCGGTTCAGCATTTTTATTTGTAATTTAGCAGTGAACATATTTTTGAGGACTGCTCGAAATGATCTTTGTTTTAAGATCAACGGTTTAAGTTTAAAGTAAGTATGTTCATACATATGTAAATAAGTACGGCGCCGGAGACGTCTCGTCGTAGTGCGGGTGATATAGCATCGGCGGTGGTACACAGACAGCATAGCACCGGTCGCGTTGTAAACACCGAGCCGAAGCCTTCCACGCTCCCGTGCTACCTGCTCTCAATATTTATTGCGTTTACATTTCATTGGAACATTCCAATATCGTGACCCAATATCATAGGGCACAACGAAAATATTTTTTCCTCGACCAATTTCGTTACAATGAGTGGAGGTGTAAACCTTTTACCAAATCCCCCGCTTTATTCAAAAAAAAGGTATTAAAACACCTACCTATTCACAAGGAACACGAAAAACGATACGATGAAAAAGAACTCATAAAACTGCCACGGTGATTTAATGGTCAGTAATATTCAAAAGAAAAAGAAGTTTGTAAAATCCAAGGATCCCTAATACATTTTTTCCACAACGCCGCCCGTACAACTCGGTTAGTTAATGCATCAATCTAATTATGCTTGCTTATCATAACGATACAGAGGGATTGCGTTTTAGAAATGTAAATGTCTGTGTTCTAGAGTCAGTTCGTGTCATAGAAGTTAATTAGTCATTAAGTAGATTGGTATGCTAATCAAAACAGGAAATTGCGTCCATTTCTGATATCCGGCGCTGTTTAATGAAGCGAACTGTAGTTGCTGCTCTAAAAACAACTACGAACCTTCGAATACTCTTGGAGCTTAATGGATTAAAATAAAGATTAAAGTTCAAGTAGTATTTTATCTTCACGCACATAAACCGTGCTCAGGTAATATTATAATTAGTCATTCATGCATATTAAATTGTAGTCATCAATTATTCCACTCGCAATTTGCTGACGATGATGTAATCATGTTCTAATGTCAGGTAGATATATAGTAATTCATCTAATTGCAAACAACAAACATAGGTATTTATATCCTCCTAATAAATAAAACAGATAACATTTACTATTTTAATATTATAATTTATTCAATATCATAAAACCTAATTAAGTACTTAATGTTAAACGTATGTTATTAGTCGCCACAGTATTACTAGATTTCATGTAAATTATAAGCTGCCTTAAATCTCTTGTAAATATCATTAGGTTTAAATGGCGTGGTTTCTTTCGGTGCGAGTCGGTGTATTCATGTAACGCGTGGGTAATTAGGCGTGAGGTAACGTATTACACATATCCTATACCCAAATCTGGTCTAAATCCGGTCGCTAATTAACTGTCAACTGGAAAATCGCACAATTTATTATTTACCTGCTCCAAAAAGGAAAATCTTACCTAATTTATGTTTGTAACTGAAATTTGCTGAACGAAGTTATTTTTAATGGCAAAAATCGTTGGCTCTGAAATAAAGAGCCTTCGAATTTTCCACCGTTTATGAAATAAGTTGGTGAATTTGTACGCAAACAGCTTTTTATTATATAAAATCGGGGTATTACTTAATCTGATAAACGGTACTTCAGAAAGAATTTCATTAAAATCTATGAAATATAAATAACTTCTGAACAGTGTCTATTTTAATCATTTTAATAAAGAACGTTTGCGTTTATAAAATATCTACATAACTATTATTATACTTGTAAATAGGATCGTTAAGCTCACAATAAATACTTAAATTGAAACGCCAGCGCCAATAGACAATTTATAACTAAAGGCATGGCATCTAAATCTATTCTCGCTGGCCTGATATTGAAGGGTAATTAACAGTGCAGGCTAACTATACCAGCAGGCTGTAGCGCTATATTATAGGTATAGCTTGCTTATCATTCTGCGCAAGTTAAGTGGGACACAATTAAATGTAGGAGAAAATTGTAAGGGTTATTTGAAACAAAGCAATTATACTAATTGCTTACTTAAATGAAATAAGTTTACAGCGTCAATTCAGTAATAACAGCCTCTCAGGAGGTTTAGGGTTTTATCCTTGGAAGAAATAAAAAATGATTTGAAACTTTTATGATATGAATTTCTAATATTTGACGACATAGGAGTGAGACTATGGGTTAACCACATTTAGACCAGATAATGATGTTACTGTCGAAAAAATACTTATTTATCTTTTCTGGGATAATGGCAGGTTTGATGATGTTAAATGTGTGAGTCAATAAAAGTACCTACCTAAGTATACATTAATTTAGTAAAATGAAAATAAATGTACAAACTATCAAAATCTTAACAGTCACTGCAGTAAACTTTATTATTAAGTATATTTAAACTATACAACAGCCGAAGCCAAAAACATAAAAGCTAGGCAGAATTTAAATACCATTTGGTCGATTTTCGCAAGACGATGGTTTGTACGACTTCATTTTTCTCCCTTAACCCGCTCTATCGCCGAAGTCCGGGGCGGAAACATTGCGTCATTGGATTTTCCTCTGAGGAAATTTTCACCTTTACAATTTTCCGGGATTAAATTTATCCTCATTTCATGATAACGACGACGGTCTCCTTTGATATTTGAAAGTTGTGTCAACATACATAGGTTACAGACTTAGGTAGTGACATAAAAGGTAGGTAAGGTAATGAATTAATTTTCATTGGGCAACTAAGTCATGTTATTAATGTCTCTGTCCAAAGTTAATGAAACCTAGGCGTAAGCTTTTAGTATTTAGTTTTTGTAGTGTTACGTAATAAGTAGTGAAGCGAGAGCACTGGGGCTGGGCCCAGCCGTGGCTCGGCGGCCTCGGGACGGCTGGCGGCGCGCCAACGCTCTGACGTGTGTGACTGACTACCCTTATCTTCAGTCGGATCCACCTCCGACATGGTTCGCTTCACTTTCAGTAAGCGACGCACAACGTGACGATATTTACCGGAGCTGCGATCTATTATTACAACTGCTATTAATGACTGCCTCTGCTAAAGTGATTAGTGAAACTATCGCATCCATGAATAGGGTAGACTATATTTTTTCTAGATATCTGAGTATACCTTATGTAGGATATTAATTTCATGAGATAAATATGAGTATTGATAAATTAAAAAGTTCAGCTTATTTGTAATAAGTTATTAGGTATGTATGTATATGTTGGCTTATTTATGTGCATAGTTTAAAGGGCATTGACTAAAATTGGTGCCTTTCTTTTTTCTGGCGGCAGTCGATGATTTATGAAAAATATTATCTAGAATGTCATTACAAACGAAATTGTCTATGGGCTCATATATGGAAATCTCAGTCTGGACTGAGTTATGAGCGTTAAAAGGAGCTGGAATCAAACATTTTACTTTCGTTTTTTTATTCGAATTATTCATATTTTTGTCACAATTCCTAACTTCAAATTGCGCGCCACTGTACGCCGGGCACAGAAACACCAAATCACACCACAATATATCCATATTGCCAGTCGCTAATTTTTATGACCTATTTTCTCTTAGTCGATAACTTGTGGGATGCTTCTAGGAGTTGTGTCATGAAGCTTCATGAGTGTCAGCTGTGGTACCAGTGGTGGGTTGAGTAGTTGTAGCCGTCCAAACATCTAATAAAGTATTTTTTTGCCGTTGACTCCTGGTGGGAGACTCATCTACTTTATAGTTAGCATAATCTTTTGAAGAAAGCAAACCGTCGACTTTTTAAGT